GAAAGTAATTGCGCTAGAGGGAAGCAAAGAGTTGCTACAGCAAAGCAACTCACAACTCGAAAAGCAGATGAATTCTGCATCAAAGCAGATTGACCAGCTCACGGAGCAGAATACGGCGCTCCGGTGGTAAGTTGACTGTGCTCTACCTGTCCCCGCATGAGGTCTTATGGGCTGATGGTGCACGAAGGGATCTCGATGGCGTAAAAACGTATCTCGAGCAGTTCCAGGACTGGTCCTTTGAACTTAAAAACTCTGTCGACTCGATCGCTAGCAGTTGCAAGCAGCAAAAGGACGACGGTTCGGAACGGAGACTAGCTCTGCGACCAAGAAGGGAGACAGCATCGGTTTAACCTCCGTTTGTCCATAGTTACATGAGAAAGCTTGGCAGTCGGGATACCATGTCGCGCGCGCACACGAACCGTAGTATAAATGATATTTTTACCTATTACCGCCAGACTTCCTATCAAACAATAAGTTCACTTCTGTGCCTATATTAGTCCAATACTATCTTAAATTGAAGTAGAACTGACTGATAGGAAGTCTGATTACCGCCGTATTATCCCTCTATAATATATAAAACTATAATATATAATAGAAGAAAGCTAGTATAACTTATGTATAGTACTATAGATCTTTAATATTCTCTCTATATCCTTCTAGAATGCCGTTAAATATAGGAGTATATAGATAGCTAGACCTAAGAATCTCTCTCTATAATCTACTCTCTTTACTCTTTTTCTATAATTTTGGAGATATCATAGATAATTTAAAGCAATAAAAAGAGTATAGATATATTCTTAGGGTTATATAAGATTAGTATATAGTATTTATAGTTATAGAGGTATAATAGATAAAAATGTCGTTTATACTATGGTTCGTGTGCGCGCGCGACATGTGTGCGCCGACTGCTATGGATAAACGGCTCGGGCTTATCTGAGACTGTCGGTGATGGCATTCATAGTTATCTACAGACAAGTCCCTATTGTAATTATCTGAGAGCTGTATAGCTGCATAATATAGTTCAGCCTAAGATAGCCTGTTGCATTGTGCTTTGACGCCTTATGTGTCCGAATTCGACGTAGGTTTCCGAATTCAGCTAGGTCTCGTGCCCATCCAGAAACCGCTTCATCGGCAACGTTAACTAAGTGAACGTCAAGTCAT